CGACGAGCTTCTCCCCGTGCCGCGGCGCAGACTCGGGCGGGGCTAGGGCAAGGACAGGTCCGTTCCGGAGCGTTGAGCGCTCCGGAAGGCTCTCTCAGAGCGTCGCGCTCTGAGAAGGCCGATGTGCTGGCACGTCCTCCAGAACCGCTGGGTCTCAGAGATCCCCGACGTCCAGAGTGTTGAGCGTTTCTGGAACGCTCTCAGAGCGTTACGCCCTGAGAAAAGGCCGCGGTGCCTGGCACGTCCTCCAGAAACGCTGGGTCTCCGAGATCCCCGACACGTCCTTGTCCGATTTTGTCCCTGTGCCGGCATCGTCTCACAGTCGGGTTTGGACAGAACCCCCACCTTGACACGTCGATAAGTGATTTGTCCGCTTTCGGTTCTCGAGAGAGGGCGCCGCGGCCGTCATTTCCCAGGCTTGCGCCCGCCAGGTCTGGGCCCGAGGTCGTTTTTCAGCACGTGAATTACCTACCCCGCTTTCGCTTCCAGGCAAAACCAAGCCATACCACGCGCCTCCTCGCCAAGCGGCCTGACCAGTACAGGCTGCAATTTGGCATCGTTTGGTATCTCTTGGAAGCGAGGGTGGTCAAAAGCGAGGTAGGTTTGTTTTCCCCCTAGTTTTCACTAGACCAAGTTTGACCAAAGGGGGTTCTGTCCCTCCCCGAGAGGAGGCCGCGGGGCCCTTGCACGTCCTCCAGACCCGCCGGGCCTGGTCCGGCTTTGCCCCTGCCCTGGCCCTCGTCTCACGGGCAGGCCTCGCGGGTCGTTGCGGCGCGAGCCAGCCGCACGCGGCGCCCACGCCCGGACCGCGGCTCGATGATCCTAAAAGACGTGGTGTCAGCCCAATGTGCGTGTTTGCCCCCTTCACCCCAGCCAGTAGATCATTGCATCGCCTGCGTCGTATCGAAGGGCCTCGATGGACAAACACACGTTGGGGCTAACAGCAAGTCGGGCCTGTCCCTATACAGGAGGAATATTCAAAAATAGTGAAAACATAGTCTGGGGACCATTTGTTTATTCTTGTTTTTTGAATACGTTTGGGGTATTTTTTTCGTCCAAAATCCGTCTGTGGGGGGACACGTCCGACAGGCTACAACACGTTCTGAGGATCATCGAGCGGCGCCTCCCCCCCCCCCGCGGCTGGGCGCCGCTGCTCGCCCCAGGTCCGGCTGCACCGCGCCTGAGCCGCCGCGCGGCGCGCGCGCGCGGCGCCTCGGCCGCTCGCTCCTCCTCGCTCCTCCTCGCTCCTCCTCGCTCCTCCTCGACTCCTCGCTCCTCCTCCTCGCTCCTCCTCGCTCCTCCTCGCTCCTCCTCCTCCTCCTCCTCCTCCTCCTCCTCATCCTCCTCCTCGCTTCTCTACCCTCGCCCCTCCTCGCTCCTTCTCCCTCTTCCTCCCGCCTCCTTGCTCCTCCTTCTGCCTCTCAGGAGCGCTACGATTTCTTCATGGTGCCACCCCCTGAGCATGGCGACCTCTCGCGTCGGCCCTGGCGAGGCGATGGCGAACACGGGAAATGAAGTGGCCGCAACCCAAAGAGGCAGTCGGGCTTGCGCTGGCCACCAACCTTCGGTCACAAGTGCACCGCTTGCGGCTGCGCCAAGAACGAGGCGTCGGCCAGGTTCTGCAAACATTGCGGCTCCCAGCTCTCGAAGGTCTCCCTTTCGGCCCTTTCCCGGGCGCATGGGGTTTGGGCTGATGGCGGCCCTCCTGGTGTCTTCGCTGCTCCTCCGTGCGCTGGGCCCGCTCTTCGTGTTCACGGGCTTCCGGGAGGCGCAGGAGCTGACGGAGGCAACGGCGGCCGCCAGGGAGTCAACGGCGTTGGGGGTGGCATAGGTGGAGGAGCTGCTGGCGTGGTCTCGACCCCGGTGGGAGCACAGCCCCAGCTCTCTCTTGAAGAGGCTCGTCAGCTGGCGGCTCTCTCACACAAGGCTGGCGACATCGCGAGCGCCACCCGCTACCGCCAGATGACCGAGAAGCTCGACGCGGTCTTGCACCCCGCCGTCTTGCCCGTCCACCAGCGGATCCAGCAGAGCAACGCTGCGGTCACCCGCCTGGGGCGGAAGATCGAGACGGAGACGGATCAGCTGGAACAGTGGCAGACCGAAGTGATGGCGCAGATTGCGTACACCGGCAGTTTCAATTCGGAGCTCAAGGCCGCGGACAGCGAGTACCAAGCAGATGTCGAGGAGCTCCAGGCTTCACGTCGTCGAGGACCTGAAGACGCCCCTGCTCAGGCTCCACCCGCATGCTCTCTCGAATTGTCTGCCTTGGTGGATGGCTCGGCCGATCTCAGCAAACTCATCGACCTGGACGAGCTCGTCGCCGACGCCTCGCTCGACCAGGGGATCGAGGAGGCTGACCTCAAGGAGATCGACCAGAGGAAGCAGCAGCTGGGAGCCGCCATCCAGACCATGGCGAAGGACTTACTGGGCCCGCTGGCCAAGCAGGCGCATGAGGCTAGGGCGCAGCATGCTGATCACACGCGCCGCCTCCAAGCCAAGACGCGGCGGGCGGAGCCAGGGGCGCGAGAGGCAGCAGCAGCAGCAGCAAGCGCAGCGCGCGACGGTGGAGCGAGGTCTACTGATGCAGGGCAGCCTGCTGACAAGCCAGCTGAAGGCCGGCCGGTCCCAGCTTGCGGCAAGCTGGATGCTGCCGGTCTGGCCCAGGCGACGTGCGAGCTCGTGCTGCGAAGCTGTTGACAACAACTCCCGCTGGGGGCACGGTTGGGGGGGGCTGTGTGATCAGCGAGTAGCAGCTTCAGCGCAGCCAGGTTTTTTCATGTTCCTCGAACTTTCAAGGCAGACCTTCCACAGAGGCCTCGATAGGTGTTTCAATTCGTCGGAATTTGAAACGTCTGAGCAGAGCATTTCCTTTTGGCGGCCCGGGGGCCGAACCCCTGGGGGCGAATCCTGCCCCCCGCCATCTTTTTCGGGCGGGGTTGTCTCCTCCTCCTCCTCCTCCTCCTCCGCCTCTTCTTCCCTCCCCGTGGGGGTTGGTGCCTGCGCTCTCTCTGCGGGCGCCCGCGGTTCCTTTGCTGCAGCCAGCAGTGTGAAGTGCGTCGCTCCATATTCTGTCTCTTCCCCCGCCCCTTCGCCCCGTCTTCGCCGCCCCCCCCCCCCCCTTCCCCCTCCTCGCGGCGCGCCTCGGGCATCCGTTTTTTTAGCGCGTGCCTTCGAGCAGTGCTCGTCGTAGTGCAGCTTCGGGTGTAGCGACCGGGCGTTCTCGCTCGGAGACGGGCTGCCCCCGCGGTGGCGCAGCGAAGCGCCCGTGCATCTTGTCACCGGGTACCTCTGGTATTTTTTCGGCCCCCGCAGCCAGCCAGCCAGGACAAGGCGCGCCAGCTCATCGTGGAAACGAACAATGTGACAGCGAGGAGTTCGATTAACCCCTGGCTTGCTCGCACGGAGGCTCAGGTTCTCTTGGTCAAGGAGCATCTTGACTCTCGTGATCTTTGCAACGAAGCGTCCCAGTGGTGCTTCAACTGCGGCTGGGCGAGCGTCTTCCTGAAGGCTGAAGTTGGACCTGGTGGGGGCCCGTCGGGGCGCGTGGCTATTCTGGTACGCAGGTACGTCGGTTTCAGAAACCTTGATTTTGGGTCTGATCTTCTTCCCGGTCGAGCGATTGCTGGCATCGTGGAGGCCCCGGGTGGGCTACCAGCTTTGATGGTTGGAGCCAACTTCGGTGATGGCGAGGGGCTGTCTCAGAAGAACCCCATCCATCCTGTCCTCCCCGGGGTGAGCTGTCCATGGTTTCGGTGGTTCTTGGCTGTTCGGCGCGGATTTCGAAATGGCCCCGAGCGAGTTGCAGCAGAGTGGTCGTTTCGAGCGCATCGCTTGCAATGTCGTGGCCCCCGAGGCCGACGCCTGTCAGGCGAGCAGGAAATCCAGCAATATTCATTATGCTATAGTATCGGCAGGGTTTGGCAAGTGCGTGGGATCTGTAGGGGTTCAGACCGCCTCTGACATTCAGACCCACGCCCCCGCTCGAGTGAAGTTGTTAGGGGATGTGGCGTCTTTTCTGGCGCTCAGCTCCATGAAGCCACCGCGAATCCTTGTTGAGCAGCCTGTGGGGCCCGCTTGCCAAACCAGATCGGCATATCAGGTGGTAGTCTGTGCGCGCAGAGGCTCGGAGATGCTGCGGGGCAGGCCGAAGAGGGGATTGGTTCAGAAGCGCTTGAAGACTTTTTTATCTAGTGGGTCGACCTCGCCGAGATCGAGGTTGCCGCGAGCCGTCGCGTCGCCCATCGCCGGAATGGCGCCCGAGGCAAGCTAACCAGGCTTATGCGGGCCTCCGCGGCAGACATGGGCGCCAACCGGGACCGTGTGATGGACCCGCCCGTTTTTCATCCGGTGGTTGGCGAGAACGTGTGGGGCATGTCTGGCTGGCTTGGAGGCCTCTGGCGCTCTTGGGCAGCAGGGTCATTGTAATTTGGACCCTCCTTCGGTCATCTCTGAGCATCTCG